GGCCGCGTCCCTCCCCAGCGCCCCCCCCGCCTCCCCTCGCGCCCCTCCTCGCCGCCCTGCCTGCTGGGAACGGGCGAGCAGCCCGGGGGGCGTTCGTGGCCCTGCAAGCAGTGATGCTGCTTGTCGCGGCCTCGCGGCCCTTGGAATAGGTGTCCTAGCTGGGAGCGCTCAGCGGCAGCAGGTGTGGCCTGGCGTCGAGGCTTTTTGCGCTGCTGACGCCTCCTTCTTGCCTCTTTTTCCTTAATAACTTCCTTAATAACTTCAGCAGTGCTGCAAATAGTCTCATGGAGAAGGAAAGTGAGCCCTGCTCTCGCTGCTGTCTGAAATGTTGTCCTACCACCAGTGTGTCAGAAGAGGACATCCAAGAGGACGTGAGCCATGCTCTCCAGGGTCAGTATGCGATGCCCTCGCTTCTGGGGTGTTCAGCGCTGGTCTTGGGTAATGCCTTTTTTCCCAAAAGTCAGAAAGTCAAAGAAGTAGAAGAGAAAAGCAGAGAAACAGGAGAGGAGACCTGCCAAGCTTTTGCAGCAAAAAAAAATGAGAGCCACGGAGCTGTTTTTGCTCTTCAGAGCATGAATTAACTGTTTAGCTATGTAACGCAGACCAAAATTATTCCTACAGGTTCAACAATTCTGACGGGTGGAACTGAATTTTTTGAGAAGAGGGACGGCTGTGCTTCCTCTGTAGCTCAAGTCGCACACTCTGAATTCAGACATGTTAAATGAAGCAACAGCCAATTATCTTAGCGCGCTTTGATGAACCGCATCCTCCAAACTTACGTACTGCCCGATTGCTATTAAGAGCTGCTAACGTGTGCTGCAGGGAAAATCCAGTTGTGGTGACCGCGGCAGTGGCATCGCTCTGCCTGTCAAACGCTGTCTGGTCCGACACCATCTTTCGCCTAACACAAGCCACAACCTGCTGCGAGGCATCTGAGGGTGGGCAAAACCCTTAGTGAACTCTAGCCGGCAGGGACGGTCTCTCCTCCTGCTTAGAGACCATGCGCTGCCTCTGCTCAGGCCTCCGCAGCCTTCCGCCAAGCTGGCAGCATCACTCAGACTTGAGGCGAGACTGAGCTTTCGCCAGCCGGCCTCACCCGCCGGCACCGGCCCAGGGTCAGCCAGGCTCTGGGAGCACCATCCACAGCTCCCCAGGTCTGAGAGTCTTTCCACCAACTTAATGAAGCTGTGAATCAGGGCAGGGAAACTGGGTAAGTTTTAACTTTGCGTCGGATTTGGTCCTGCCTGAAGGTACTTCGTTTGCACGGTTCTCTCGAGGGCGGGCACCTGAAGCCCTTTTTTCTCCCTGACTGTATTAATTAAACCCAACCTAATAAAAATAGATACGTAATACATTAAACTAGCGTATGGCTTCAGAGTTTGTTTCATTAGTTTTCCGTATTATCATTGCTTTTGAAAACAATTAATCTGATTGTAAAAAAAAAAAAAAAAGAAGAAAAGTGAAGGGTCTTGGTGTATGTTTTGTGACTTCCAGTTCAGGAGTCTCTGGAAAATTATTTTTTCACCAAAGCGTAGCCACATACTAGTCCTACTGATGGCAAAAGCCATCAGGTTCTGTCTCTCCTCATACTGCTAACATGAGGTGCCATTTACTCTGGAGTAGTTATGGATCCCAACTGGTGCCTGCCTGTTGGTGTAGCGCACGCTTGACACCCCCACTTGCATGACAGCTTTAACTCTGTATTTGCCATTTTCCCACAGGGATGAATGTTAAAGAGATGCTTCTAAATAATGTAAATTTAAAAAATACTTACACTAATCATGTGTTCTGCCTGCAGGAAAATTATAATATTTTGCTACAGAGCATGCTGATGACAATGACACACACTGCCAGGCATGCTCTTGTCCCATCCAAGCTCCCAGCACTTTGGCACCCCATAGACCAGCTCTTTCTCAAAATTGCCAGTCTCTAAGAGAAACGAGGCTATTGTCACTCAGGCTGGGAGCTCCTAAAATCTACTCTATGCATAGGTCTCTAACTGCAAAAAGAAAGACAGATGAATACATGTGAGCAAAATCTGTTATTCCCTGAAGCCCAATTTAACATCCCGTTCCTAAATTACCATCTGTACGATTTATTTTCTTCTGTTCCTAAGATCTGTCTTTTCACTTTCTCACACCTCAAGAATTCAATTACTTTAAAAAATATGTATCTTTGGGTTTTTTTACAAGTATGGCTAAATGCAAAGATATCAGGGAAGCTGAAAAATAACATAAATATGAGTTTCTGTTTTGCTAGGCCCCTTCCCCACAGCTCTGGGTGCTGGCGTTCTAGCCAACGCCTCCAGAGAGCTTCCAGTCTGGACATCTGATCTAAGACTTTCCTCAATCTGCCAGTTGTATTTCCCACCTATTTAGAACTATATTAGCATTGCAGATTTGCCCGTACAGAGAAAAAAAAATTCTCAATTACAAAGAAATCCAACAATGGAATTGTTCTAAATCATCGGAAAATCTAAGTGGTACAGAAATCTCCTTTTTTTAAAAATAAATGCCTAAGTGTCTGTGTTTTGCTATGCAACATCTGGCAAGGGAATAAAGGGAGAATGCTGTCAGAGAAAGAAAAAAATGCCTTAAAAGTTGAATGATACAGCAACCAATGCCCAAGCCTTTACATCACCCTAAGGTCTCCTGGAAGTCCTCCTCTTCCCCACCCAGGGACTGTGTCTTAATGAGAGGCAGGTGCAAACCCTCAGGCAGCAGAATGGCTGCACCTGTGTTGGGCCTGTGCCAGGGCCTATATAATCCCACTGAGGGCAACTCAGTATGAGTTTGGTGGTGGTAGTGAGAAGATGTGTCTGGTCTTGGAGCAGCAGCAGTGCTTAGGCACCTCAAGGATGTGGTGAGTGGGGTTTGCTCTTTGGGCTGGGGAGCTGGGCCCTTTCCTCTTTCTCCTCTGATTTGGTTCTGTTTTGCTTGCAGGTTGCTGCTGTTGTTTGGCTTTTTGCTGCCGTTAGCCCCTTGTGCTGGTGGCTTGGGGGATCAGGACCTTCTGGGTAGTGAGACCTCTCTGGGCTGGTAGTGGTTTGGGAGAGGGTTTTTGGGTGCCCTGGGGCTGCCTCCCCCTGCCTCTGTGGGGAGGGGGGCTACCTAGTAGGCTTGGCAGGATGTGTGATGGCAGAGCTGACTGGGGCCTTTCCTCTGCAGAGAGTGTGACCTGTCACAAGGACAGGATGGAGGTTGAGTTTTCCAGAGAGCTGGGCAACTCCTCCTGGCAAGCAGCTGTAGTGGGTATGTATTGCTGCTGGCCTGACTGGGGCCTCTGCCTGCTGCCTGGAGGTGGGTGTCTGCTGGTGGGGCTAACAGCTCCCTTTCTCTCTAGATGCAAGTGGTGAGGAAGTGGTGTCCTGTGACCCCCTGGTGGATTATGAGAGGCTGTTGCTCAGTGTCCTGTTTGTGAACTGCACAAGCCTGGAGGTAAAGGGGTTGTTCTGGGAGTGTGCTCTGGTGAAGTGGCTTTTTCCTAGCTGGGAGGGGGTTTAATAAGGCTTCTAATACTGCTGTTTTTGGAAGAGTGGAAATGCCTGAACTAGTCCACAGGCAACTTCTGGCATGAACTATTAAAATATCTGAATACTTGTTCTTTCAGCTGTGATTTAAACCCCCTCAGACTCTGCTGTGGATATTGCCTCCTCTTGTAAAGGAGTTAAACTGCTTAGTTATTAAAAACATAGGGAGATGGACCAGGTCCAAGAGTCTTACAGCATTATTTTAATTCATCAGTATGCATATGCAGCTAACTAATGCTAGCTATCAACTCATAGTTACTGAGTTAAAGTAATAACTGGGAGGCTAATACAAGCTATCTTCTCAGAAGCAGAGACTTTACTGGCATCACTTCCAAGTGATTAAAAAATTCACTTATCTCTTGATACCAAGAGCCAGCTCTGGCCCTACTGCCTGTCAATGAGGCAGGCAATCCTTAAGCTTTCCTTGTGATTCCTGCAGTTCTCACTGTACTTCCTACTCTTCAGCCTGTTCTGTGGCTCTGTGCTTTCCTAGGGAATCCTTCCCTTTCCATAGAGGTCTCTTAAAGACAAGGTAATCTTGTCCTTGTCCCCTATACAAACAACTAACTCTAAAGTTTAGAATTTAATCTCAAAGGCTTTTATTTCTTCTCATGCTGTAATGAGTTCTGCCTCTTCTTGATTATATCTTCTATTGCTTGCAGCATGGCCAGCACCAGCTGAGACTGAAGCTGATAGTGAATGACACAATGGGAGGGGAGAAGAATGCAACCTACAATGCTTACTGCAACAGTGTTCATGCAGATGAAATCATCCCTCCTTTCTTTACTGGTGCAACAAACTGTACAAAAGACTTCATGGCAGTAAGTAGAGGACTAGGAGTGCTGTGGGAAATGCTGACAGGCTTGCAAGGCAAAATGGCTGTCTCCCAGGACTGTGACTGGGGTCCCCAGAAAGCTTGGGGGGGGGGGGTGGATCTCTAGCCAGCTAACAGGAGGTCTGTTGGCTGCATCTCCATTTTGGCATGACCCTTAGCTCTTCAAAGAGCTAGTCTGCAGATGGTCATTAGTGATGCACATAGTCTGGCTCCAGCCCTGTTGCAGGGGAAGCTGCTGTCTCCCTTTCTGCTGACAGCTGGCACTAGCATACTCTTCTGGGAAGTTAAAGGAGGGATTTGTTACAGGTGAAACTGCTCTCTGCTCCTATGTTCTAACCCTTGTGCTCTCTGTTTCAGGTTACTTTCCCAAGACTCATTCCAAGCTTCAGTGATGAGCATGTGGTAGGTGCCTCTGGTCTTCCAAGAAGAGGAGGTGGGAGTGCCTGGGTTAGGGCCCAAACTGGGCCTGGTGTCTCCAGACTTGGAGTGTTTCTGTCTTTTAGGATGTTCCCATCTTGCTGGGAAGCCTAGTTCAGTGCTGTTATTACAGGGAGCTTGAATGTAAAAGCTGCCAGGTTGGAGCCCTGCAGAGTGAGGAACTGTGTAATGCCTTGCTGTGCCTTCTTAAGACTGGATCTCCTTCTCTACAGGTTCCAGTAACTCCAATGACCTGGACTCTGTCAATTGATGATGGAATGAGGATGCACCAGCTGAGCCTTGGACAAGCCATGCAGCAAGGCTATAGCTTTCTAGCTGATGGGCACAACCTGATATTCCAGGTGGCCTTCAGTGCAACTGGAGTTGTCTCCTACAAGGTAGGGGCATGCAGAGTTGGCATGGAGGAGATAGTGTCTTTATCAGAGTCTAGATGTCACCTGACCATAGGCCTGTGGAAAGCACTGGCAGGCTGTGGCCAGAACTGGTATCAAGCTGATGCAGTGCCTTACTTTGCATGCAGAGCTGTATCACCTTGTGCAGTTGTCACTGGACAACCCAGCCCTATAAAACAGGGACTGATTGGTGTGCAGCTCAGTAGTGCAGTTGATAGGGTTTACTAGAGTGGGAACTAGCTGTAATCTGTCCTGTGAAGATTTGACCTGCAGTCTTATGAGCAGATCCATATTGAAAGGGTGTTGAGATGGGAGGAAACTGCTGTTGCAAACCCTGACACTAGCCAGTCTTATAGCATACAGCTTTGTGGTGTTGACCCTGTGGATCCTGAGCTGAGTACCCTCCTAATGAGACTTTACCTATTTTTGCAGCAAAATGACCAGGTACTCTATACTGTGGCACTCAAGCTCACATATGGACCTCCTGAACGGAGGCTGACAGTGGAGTCAAGAATGCTTTGTGCACCAGGTAAGGCATGGAGGGATCTGCCCTGCTTCTGCTCTGAAGATAGTGATGTAAAGATGTAACAAAGATGATGTTGCAGGTCCAGCAGCTTGTAATGCAACACACATGACTGTTGCCATCCCAGCCTTCCCAGGGACCCTTATGGCTGTGGGTGTAGAGGATAGGACAATTCCTATGGACCAGCTCCAGGAAAATGGGATTGCTCTGGACACAAGAAGAGGGGTCAAGCTGCATGTTAGCAGGGGAGTCCTGAAATCCAGGGTGAGTTCATAGATCTTTCATATCATGGAGTTTTTTGGCAGGGTCAACTCCCCAGTGCTTACTGGGAGCTAGTGCACAGTGGTTTTGACCTTGACCAAGCATCTGTTAAGGTAACCATGTGTGTTGTAGCTGCTGAAGGGTAGCTGTGATCAAGACTGATGTAAGCTGTAGCACATAGGCATCACTTGAAGTAACTTGGGTCTCATGGTCTCTTAGCATAAACAGCTGGAGGTAAAAATGTTGCTCTTCAAGTGTGCTAGTATTTGACATGCCTGGAGCCCTGCATGTTAACAAACTAGTTGTGTCAGGAGCTGTTTTAGCCTGTGGCCTCTAGTACAGGCCTATGTGCAGAGGGGTTTTTGTACTGATGCTGCAAGAGTAACTCTTGTCTTTCAGCTACATGGGGAGAGTTGCTCAGGACTTCAGTCCTACATGTCCTCTCTGAAACTGGCTTTTCTCTTCCATGGGGAGACTGTGGCAATGGTGATGCATCCAGAGTGTCCCTGTGACCAGCGCATGCCAATAGGTAAGTGACAACTTCTTGCAGTGCACTCTGCCCATCTGCTGCTCAGGCAGCATAGCTTGTTCTTGAAATAGTTCTTAGCCTAGAAAGGCAATCTAGCCAGAGTATAATAGCTCTTGGCATACTGAGGTGCCCCAGACTGGGTGTGACATCTCATGTAAACCTGTGTTCCAGCTGCTGTATGCACCCAGGATGGGTATATGGATTTTGAAGTCTTTGCTGACAGTACCAGACCACCACTAAACTTGGATACACTCAGGCTCAGAGATCCTACATGCAAGCCAGCCTTTAAGTCCTCTTTGAATGATAGGGTTTGGTTTCATGTCCCACTGAATGGATGTGGGACCAGGTATTGGGTAAGCATTTAGCCAAGATTGATTGGGGAGGGCCCCATGGAGTGGGGATTGCCCATTCTAATGCTGCTGTCCATCTTCCTCCTCAGTTTGATGGAGAGAGGATCATCTATGAGAATGAGGTGAGGGCACTGTGGGCAGACCTTCCACTGCGTAGGATCTCAAGAGACAGTGAACTAAGGTGTGTTTGGAAACTCTCTGGACAGTATCTAGTCATGTGTTTTGTGTATCTGCACATGGGCCTATCTGCTCCTTTCTTGTTCTAGGCTAACAGTATTGTGCTCCTTCAGCAATGGTGATGCCTCCCTGACTATAAAAGTAGACAATCTTCCTGCTCTGGCTTCCTCAATGAATCGAGGTCCTCTCTCTTTAGTTCTCCTAAGCTATCCAGGTAAGGCTGACTCCGGACCCAGGTGGCTGGGAAGCAATGGGAGCTTGTGGTGAAAGGGAGTTCATATATAATGCACTGTTTTGGTGCATAGAGCTTTTAATGAGGGCTTGATGTCTTAATTTGGCTGATGTGTTTCCTCTAATGCTATTTGAGGTAGAGGTCTTAAACCAGTGATTATTGTATAGCTTTCTGGGATAAACTGCAGCTAGTGAAGTGGCTGATCTGAGGAAACCAGTCTAGAGCTCTCCAAGGACTGTCTTGTTGCATGCTGGCTTACCTAATCTGTCTTTGGCCCTTGCAGAGGACTCATACAGGCATCCATATCATGATGACCAGTACCCAATAGTTAGGTACCTGCGGCAGCCCATCTTCCTGGAAGTCCAGGTTTTGAACCGCAATGATCCTAACCTCCAGCTGGTGTTGGATGACTGTTGGGCAACAGCATCACAAGCTCCAAACTCACTTCCCCAGTGGAATATTGTTGTGGATGGGTGAGTATCCTGCTAATGGGTGTGACTAAAAACCACTGTTGGCAGTGGGTGGGAGGATACTCCTGATTTCTCCTCTCATCACTCTTTGGGAGCACATCCCCAGGTACAGGGGTTTTACTGGTGGTGGCCTTCTAGGTACTGCAGTAATGCTGCCCTGGTATGTTGGAACTTGCAGGAGGATGGCAGGATCTCTATCTTGAGCTCTGTCCTGCTTCTGGAAAAAGTATTCTCCACCTAGCCCCTTCTGATTTGCTCTTTCTACCTCTTTGGTAGGTGTGAGTATGATTTGGACAGCTACAGGACTGTGTTTCATCCTGTGGGGCATGGTGTCAGTTATGCTAACTATCGCCAAAGGCTGGAAGTGAAGACCTTTGCCTTTATGTCTGGTGATAAAGCCCTCCCTGGTCTAGTAGGTGACATTCTCCTTCTACTTGGAAGCAGTAAGTAGGAGTAGTTAGTGTCTAAATGCATGTGACTCGCTCTGTCCTAGGTGTACTTTCATTGCAGTGTCCTGGTCTGTGACCGTTTCCAGCCAGACTCCCCTTTATGTTTCACAAGATGCCCTAAGCCATCTAGGAGCAAGCGAGGTAATGTCTAAGCAGGTTTTTGCATGAAAACAGTGCAGCCTAACCTGACCTCAGATTAGGTGGAGCTCACCTCTTCAACATTACTGTTACAGAGAGTGGGCAGTCAGGCATGAACTCGGTGGTGAGCCTACCGGGACCTGTTCTCTTTGTGCCAGAAGGATGGTCTGCAACCCAAGGTATTAAGAGTGTTGCTTATGCATGTTGCTTAGTTTAAGGTGGGGGGGGGGGCTCCTCACCAAATATACCTTTTTACTTGCTTTGCAGGGAGCACTTTCTTCAAAGAAGTGTGGGCCAAGGTGACAATGACTGTTGTTAGTATTCTCTCTCTGATGGCCACAGTGCTGCTATTCTTAGCTTTCCTTAAATGCCTGAAGAAGAGAAGGGCATCTATGGTAAATGTGGTATGTTAATATATCTTTTAAAAATAAACTTGGATTATAAATGACTGGAAAATCTTCATATGTAGTTTTAAGCTTGCTTGTGGATCTATGATGCTCAAGGAACTAAACTGAGCAAGACAAAGGAACAGACTTCCTTTGAACAGCAGCACACTGATCTTGGTATCTCAGCAGGCCACAGACACATCATTTTTACTTTCAGTAACTACTAAAGGCCTGAGGAAGACTTGGTGCCAATGCAGCTCCCCATATACTGGATGTTTTTGATCTCTCTTGGTATGCAGGCTAGGGGAGACTGACAAGCTAAAACTTCATTTCTTTTAGTATAGTGAGAATCAACCTCTAAGATTCCACAAAACTCAGCTGTTGCTAGGACTATAGAAAAGGCTTTAGTTGAAGAGATTGCAGATTAAGGTAAAGCATGGTGCTACCTAATAGCAATTGCACAGCTGTCTTGCAAGGCTGGTAACTTAGCACTAGCTAACTTCTTTATAGCCAGTAGCTTAAAATGTGGAAGTAAATCTGTTGAATGTGGGTAGGGCTATGCTAAAACAAATAGTGTTTGCTTCATGATGCCACTGGAACTAGACTCCTGTAGCTGCTGCTTAGATGCTAATGGAAGACTTCCTTTAGGATTGTTCTGCTCATTGTGTAAGTATTTTGCTGACTTGACCCTGCATCTCCTTGCTGGTGCTTCCAGGCTTCTTCAAAGCTCTAAGTGGTGCATTAACTTTATACTTCTATATCAAACTTCTGGATGGTTCCTACATAACAGGGGAAATAAAAGTCATAGTAAGGAGGAGGTATCTGGATCATGTGCAAACCAAGTAGTGCTAGCCTAGAGCTTCTCATCAAAGACAGGGTTGTGAACTATGCTTTGCAATAGTCAGACTTCCCAAAATCCTGGGAATGACATGATTAACTTGTTTAATGTGGTGGAGAATATAGTGACACCTTTCATAGCATGTTATGGTACAGTGAAATGCTAATGATAAAGAATCAGAGGAAAGCTGCTAAGTGTCACAGGTCTAGGCAGCAGCTGTACTTGCTTTCACACTTTCCAAGGTGGAAGTCTTAAGTGGTAACAACCTCTAGGTTGTTTTAGTTGTACTTAGCCTGTGCATTGCAGGGGTGGGAGTATAAGGTGTAGTCTATGGTCCACAGCCAGCACTACTAATTTCCAGCTTTACCAGTTGGAGGTTAAGTGAAGGGAAGACACTACAGTGAGTGGTCTCATCTACTCCAACTCTCTAGATTTAAAGCTGAACACCTCATCTGGTGACTGACTAGCTTCACATCTGTGCAGGAAAAGCCCTGAGTGTGTGCTGATATGCTCTATCTAACTGAGGTTAATATTTCCTGGGACTTGGGCTCAGCTCTGGCTTCTATGCAAGGAGAGTTGAGGGTGATGTCAAGGGCTGCATAGTCCACTTGGCTGGTAGAGATGGGGGAAAGCTAGTTGTACAACTTTAGGGACACTCTTTATATAGAAGGAATTTTTACTTTGATTGGCTTCATGCCTTTCCTTCCTCCAGGTAGGAAGGCCTAAATGTTATACAAGTTACATAAGCTAAGTTGGCCAATGGTATTTACACCCTACAGACAACTGCTAGAATGGGTGTATATAAACCATATGTGAAAGTCAAGACTGCCCTAGAAAGTAATGCTGTAAACCATGTGAATATTCTGTGCTGTCAAATATGGATTTGTTCTGTGCTGTTACTTTCCTGCCTGAATAGGCAAGGACTAGCCTTCCTTAGGAGCTCTGAGTTCACTAGCCAACTTCAACTGCACGTGTTGTGGGTCTTGCTCAACAAGCTCTGAGGTGAAGGGAAGCTCAGGGGCTAGGGAACCCCCAATATGAATAAGGGAAACTAACCCTTTCCTGGCTTTAACTTGGTGCCCTTGCCCATGGCTGGGGGAGGAGCCTTGGTGCTTGTTAGTGTTGCACCTGGCTTAGGAATTGCCAGGTTCACACACAAACCCTGCCCTGGTAAAGGTCACAGGGCTTTCTGAAAGCAGAAACGCCTTGTCAGCAGGGTAAGGTGAAGGTGCTGTGGAACAAACACAAGTAGGTATTTTAAAGTGTCTATTTTAGATGCAGATTTTATCTTGATCCCTCTTATAGTGAAGTCCTTATGACAAAGCTGACTTCTGAAGACATCAACTCAGAGTTAAAAAAAATCCTATTTCACCTTGCCCCCTGCCCTTACTGGGTGGGTGGCTGGCAGCTCCTCCTGCTGGGAGGATGTTGTGGATGTGTGGGCAGGGCTTTACCCCCTCTTCCCTGAGGGGCAGCAAGCTGGGGGAGAAAGGAAAACTTCTGTGTTGTTGTGCTTGCTGGTGACATGGAAAGCACTAGACCTTGATGTCATTGATGTGAAGAAACTTTTTTCTTCCCTGGTCTTGGTTTTGCTGCTGTGAGAAATAGCTCTATTGTCCCCTTAGCTCTGATGGACTATGTTTGTTGCTGAGCTGTTCTGCCCTGCAGCTGCTTGTCCTGCTGGCTGTGCTTACTTTGCACCAGAGCGTGGTGGCTGCCCTGCTGTTGCCCCTGTAGGGTGGCCCAGAGCACCCAAAGGAGACAGACCTGGCCTGCCTGGGTGTTGTATTTCATGGGCAGCTCTGTGTAGGCTTGAGCTATGCCTCTTGGCATATGCACTCTTGTTTACCTTGGGTGGGGTGTTGTCCCAGCTCCTCAGATGAGGGACTTGAAAAGAGAAACTATGCTAGGCAGGTCATGTTCTTTGATTTCTACTGGGGACTCAATTTTTTTAACCTTTCTTTCCTCTAAAGATTTAGCCTGAAACTCTCTAAGCTACCTAAGACTTGGACATCCTCTGCCCAGTGAAATTAAAGCAGCCTGGTACTATTCCACACCTGCTGATATGGGGTATAACATCAAATGATTTAAAACCTTAGCTTAAACACTCTGCAGCTAATAGCTTAAATGCTTAGCAGATGCTTGTGAGAAGTGTGCTGGTTCTGACACAATAGTGATAAGTACCTCATGATCCTCTTGTGTACTCAAATTGCATAATGGTAAATTAAATATTTACTAAATATGCTGAAATAGAATGAAAAGCTGAGAAGAGCTGCACTAGATGAGTACTCTTTTCTTAGTTCAGATGTTGCTACCATGTGACAGCTGGTGGAAGAGTTCAGCCCTTCTCCTTCGTACATGTGCTTGTTAGGGTGCTAAACTCTCCTGATCGTTTATGTTGCTGGAGCTCTTTGGAAGCCTGTGCTGTAAAATGGCCCATTCAAATGAAGAGAGGCTTTGTGCATGTGTGCTCATGCTCTTAAAATGACTTCAGTGATCTCGTCTGCAGTGTAGGCCCATGAAGAGCTCCAGGTGGGTGCAGTGCCCTGAAAAGGCTGATGGTGAGGCTGAGCAGGAAGCTTTTAAACTCCTCTGCTAGCGAAATAAACATGAAGCTCTGAGGGGATGTTTGAGGTGTGCATGTGCTGTAAAATGAAGCAACTCATGCTGTTTAAATGGGAACAGTATAAAGCAAAAGCCTGATGGCAGAGGTGAGGACAGTAGGAAGAAAATGTTACTTTTTTTCTAATATTGTTAACATGACTTTAAGTGTGGTCTGTAGTTTGTGATAGTCTGATTCAATCCTCCAATACTGAATATCAGCTTCAGGATTTCTGTTCATCTCATCAACCAGCAGGAGCTTCACATCGGCCTCTGTCTGATCAGCTCTTGAAAGAAAGGCCCATCTTGGGCTACAGATGTGCCAGCTGATCACTGTCTCTTCCACTATGGTTGGAAGAGAGCTGAGCAAACAGACTAATCTCTGAAGATCTGATCCTCATTTTCAGAGATGTACAGTTCATAATCTTTTCAGATTTTTTGATGCTTTATCTGCTTGTTCTAGTTCTTGTAGACTAAGCAGTGGCTTATTTTGGAGATCAGGTAGTAATAGGCAGTAGGTAATGAAGCTGAGAGCACCTGTTAAAAATCTCAGCCTCATAGAACAGATCTCTTAACTCTGTAGTTTAAACAGCTCATAAATGTTGAGGTATTTGTATTGATCTGGGTAACAGGCAAATATAGCTAGGCTGGTTGCAAAGAAAGGGCTACCAGGATGATTAGAGGGCTGGAGCATCTCTCCTATGAAGAAAGACTGCAAGAGCTGGGCCTGTTCAGCCTGGAGCAGAGAAGATTGAGAGGGGATCTCATCAACGTGTACAAGTATCTGAAGGGGGAGTGTCAAGAGGATGAGCCCAGCCTCTTCTCTGTGGTGCCCAGCGACAGGACAAGAGGCAATGGGCAGAAACTGAACCACAGGAAGTTCCACCTGAACCTGAGAAAAAACTTCTTGACTGTGAGGGTGACAGAGCATTGGAACAGGTTGCCCAGAGAGGTGGTGGAGTCTCCTTCCCTGGAGATATTCAAAAGCCATCTGGATGTGATCCTGGGCAATATGCTCTAGGTGACCCTGCTTGAGCAGGGAGGTTGGACTAGATGATCTCCAGAGGTCCCTTCCAACCTAAACGATTCTGTGATTCTGTGAAAGCACTCTCTCTTAACAGTCAGAGCAGTCGCAGTACTACCTTGTTCGAGTTGTCTGCAGACCTGAGAGCTTTTCTATGGAGAAAGATGGTACAGCTACTGATGGCTTGGGGGAGACTGAGGCACAGAAGAGCCTGTCTGTGTCCAGAATTACTCCAAGTAAATAACCACCTTTTAGGCTTGGCAGAATTCAGAGCTTAAAACTCAGGCTTATTGAGTGCTTGTCTGTGGTGTTTTCTTAAGTGTGCTAGGTTAGTGTGTCACTGTAGTGCTCATTCAGGGATTATTCAATGTTCTGAAAAAACAATGTTTTAAAAACAAAGCTGTGTCTAGTGGGATCATATGTTTGTTACTCATTAATAACATTCTTTCTGGATTGTATTACTCTTAGCCTTTCTATTCTCTTGTGGTAATAAGTGCATGAAGTTAATTAGACTTTAGAAAAATAGTTTATTTTACTAGATCCACTTGAGATTTGTTGCCTTTGCTTTCTTGTGGCTCTCCACTAATCTATGGCAGTAGATAGTTCTGTACAGCACTTCTACAGTCTTAACTGTTTCCATCATGTATTCCCTCTTGTGCATCTCCTCCTTAAGAAAGGACTAGCAGTCTTCATCTCATTGTTTTTGATAAATTTTATGATGTGTACAAATGTATGGCTGCAAAGATTTTGCTGTAGTAAATGTAATTCTGAATTTCCTGAATCTCTTGTTCTGAAATCTTCTGTTATGTTACATTCCTGTTGGATTTTGTAACTGTTTTCATCTTGAGAGGCTTACCAAGTGCTTTTCACGAGTGTGGCTCCATTCAATTGTTCTTAAACTCATGTTGTGCAAATATCCATAGCTGCTCCTTTTGTAAATGAGCTGTTTGTTGCAGCTGGATATTAAAGCCAGGCTTTGTTTAAGTCTGTTAGCTGGACCCTTGCATTTGTTTTGATTAAAATGTTGCTGTAAAACTCATTCTCTTAGCTATGTGGTTCTAATGTTTGTGAATAGTCCAAGGCCCGTTCCCAGTAAAGCTGGATCCTGCATTTTATGAATGCAGCAGGATAGCCCTTTCCTTGAAAGGATATTAGGGAGACTTGTGCAGAGTGAAAAAGACTCTGCCTGTTGCCAGAGTCACTGTTCTGGTGGCCAGCAGTTCCCTGATGGCTCAGTAGGCCATCTCCCCTGCCTGGGAGGCACTTAGATTATAAAGCATTGGGAAGTGCCTAGCAATGAACCATCTCTGACAACTGTCTATAGGGGGTTTATTTACATGCAGCTCTTCCTGATCTGTCCAGGAATTGGAATAAGCTATTAATTTGGCATATCTGGGCCAGGAGAGCTGTAAAGGCTGCCAGCATCCCCTTCAAGTGTTATTTGCGCAGTTAATGTTCTTCACCATAAAACAAGCTTAAACTCTAGGCTGAACAGAAGGTATGATGCTGTCTTGTTGCAATACTGCCCTTCCTAAGGGGATGTTTTCCAAATTCAAATGAATACAGTTTGAAGGAAATGAGTGTAATCAAGGTAAATACTACAGGGCTGCAGACAGCTGGATGAGGGTTAACAGGATACTTAGCCTGCAGGAAGAGAGAATGGAGAGTATTGATGCTGCTTTTCCATTAACTCATGGCCATCTGGAGACTGGCATACCCCATTACTCTCAGTAGATGGTATCTGACCTGTGGGTTCTGTATGCTCTGTAACACCACCACCACAACTGATGTCTGCTGCTCTAGGATTTGATAACCTGGGCAGTTCTGTTAAGCTGAATGCTAATCTGCTACTGCTTTTCCTGCTGCTTCTGTTGTCACCAGTATCAGTTTCTGTGATTACTGTCTACAGTTCCATGGTGTAGTTTCTCTTGCTCTGGTTTTATACTGGAATACTGACTTTTCAGGGGAAACTCCCACTCCTGCAATCATGTGAAGAATATGAACTTTTATTAACAGCTGCTGTTCTGCACTGAACCAAATACTAATAGTCCCAAAGTGCTTAGGTTTAGGCTCTGCTCCTCCTAATGTTTAGAATTGTGTTCAAAGCAGTTACACCAGAAACTCAATGCTGTATCTGGTAGCAGAGCAAGAGGGACAGTGTGTAACACTCCCAGGTGTTGGATTGTTGGATGTTGAAGAGTCAAGCATGTTGTGGATCTTAGTTCTGCTGTCTCATAACAGCACCTGAAAATGCAGATAGGGTGCAGAAGAGATCTGTCCCTAGCCCACAGGAGGATTCACTTTAGTTCTCCCAAGGCAGTATGGCTGTGTTTTTTTTCCCCCCTGACATTGCAGGGGAAATCAGAATTTTAATGAAGTTTCATGCAACTTATTTAATTTAAGGAAAATCCTTTTTTTGCCCCTACCTCAATGATCTCCCTTGGTGCTCGGCACCTTCTCTTTTCCTGTATGAGTGCTGGTGCTGCTCAGTCCCTTGCTTAAGTGTGCTACCAAGGTAGTTTTATTTAAACTAGGTCCCTAAGTTTATTTTAAAAGCAGGGAGGATTCCTTTGTTACCTTTAGGCCTGATGTCCTGCCCTCCTGGCATATATAGGAAGGTGAAGCAATGAATGACAGTGCAATAAGAGGAGGGGGGAAAAGGAAGGAAGGGTCAGTGACTCTGCACATGGGAGGCAGCACTGGGGGCTGAAAAGGGGCATCTGCTGCTTGGCAGCTGCATGAGTCTCCATAGCTTGAGCTGAAGCACCTGGTTCAGTGACTAGTAAAGTTGGCTGCTGCATGTATCCTTGGAAAGGCTTGGGATGTTTGGGTCCCCCCAGGGTGGAGGGACTGGGGCCACAGGACAGCTGGCCTGTTCCTTTTCAAACCAGGGCTGCTGACTGCTTGTGGGGAGGCAGTGCCACTACAGAAGGCCTGGGCTGTGTCCCCATGCCCCACGTGTGGCCATGGAGCCCGTGGGGATGGCTGCTGCTGGGGTGGGAAAGGCTCCTGCTGGGCTTGCTTTGCTCTGCAGGAAGGTGAGATGGCTGAGAAAGCAGGGCCTGGCGTGGTCTCCCTGGCTCCCCCTGAAGGATGGGAGCTGTGCTGGTGCAGGGCTGTGACTGCAGTTGTGCCCTGTTGAGAGGGAACACGAGGACACCAGGACTGTGGTAGCTGCCCACCTTGGTTTGATTCAAGCCAGCTGACTTGACTCATCTGTGAAGTCATGCTGAAGTCTCCCTCAGCTCCTGAAGTATATGGGGCCACATCATGCTGTCTCACACAATCTTTGTTCTTGTAGATTTTAAGAACAGATGGACCCCAATTAAAAAAAGGGGGGGGAGGTGTAACAGTATTAGCTCTACTACAGTGTTGAATAATTTAAAGTACACCCTTGTTTGAGGGATGACTTTACTGTCACCAGTAAAAACACCTGGTCTGCACTTACCTAGTTTTATCACTTGGGCATGTCCTTATCAGGTAGTGTGTTAACATGGTGATGGCACATCAGCAAAGACAGCCCTTATTAAAAAGGCACAGTGAGAAGCTTTGAAATGACACTGATAAAAACACAAGTTGGAGCAGGAGGGGAGGGAACTCATCTATGTCCTACTTGTACCTGTTAACAGTTTCAGTTTCTGATAAATGCCTATGACAGAATGAATTAAATGAAAAAATCAATTTAAAATGCAGAAGGAAATGGCATGTGTGTGGCCAGACTCTGAGCTGGAATAAGCTCAGAGGCACTGAAGCCGATGAATTTATTGAGCAGTAGCTGCTTATACAAAGGGAACCCCTAGCAAAGGGTTAGATCCCATCAGCCTTCTACTTGCATGTAGGTCCTGATCCAAAGCCTTGAGAGCCCCGTTTCTGGGGACGGGTGCAAGGGTGTCTCTGGAAGTTCCTCCTGAAGCTATTAGAGCCTTGCTGCAGGGATTGCTGATGATGTGGCTTTGTAGTAACTGTTTGAATTAACATGTCATTAAGGTGGCAAAAGAAATAGGTTTTTGGACATCTAAAGGGTTGGAAATAGTGATCCTCCAGGTTACACAAAGTATATGAATAATTGCAGGTATTTCTTTACAGTGTTTTTTGTTACTTTATAGGATCTGGAATCAAGTGAAGATAGTGATGAAACTTATCTTTTTAATGTATTAAAATTGAAACTTAGATGCAGTTTGTTTAATCAAGAATTCTCAGTCATTTAAAAAATTGATCTGGGCTTTATCTCTTGAAATAAAATATTATGTCTTAAGTTAATTGATCTGCCATGAAAAGGCAAACACTGCTAAAACTAAGGAGCATATTTTGATGTGAAGTGGTAGGGAGAGCAAAGAATATTTGCTTTTGCCTATTTTAATCATGTTTCTCTGATGTAGGTCCACACAGTTAGAATAGTAGTCTTAAAACTAAAGCCCAGAGATTTTGGTTGCTATCTTCAGTGAGGAGGTTTGATCTCCTTTCTCAGAGAAGGGCAGCTCAGTGATTTCTACTGCCAAATTCTTTAAGGTTGCTGAAGATGGGTATGTGAAAATTGAGCCACCCACAATCATGTTGAAAATCCTGGGGAATATGCTTTGAGATACATATTTCCTAAAGGCTCACTGGTAGCTGAGGAGATACCCTGGTGATGTGCACATGCATGTGATACCCTGCTAATGGTAGGGAACTTATTTTTAACATAAAATCCAGGCATTACTTTCTACTACAAAGGAACTTGGTGACTTAGACAGCTACTGTTTCACCTGGGTTGCTGCTCTCTTCTAACAAGATGGTACAGAACTGTCTCAGACTGACTATGAATAAACCAGTCTGGCTAATTTTAATGTATTTAAAAATATATGGATTTTTTGACAATTATTGTTTCTACAAAATGGGCAGTTTTGTCTTTAAAATTAAAGAAATGATTGTCTTGCCCACTGTTAAAGATCTTGTGAAGATGCCTGTTAAAAGTAATGAGATGAAAATGTGACTGTTGCGTTAATTAATGTTTGTAAATGTGTTAGGCTCCTAAGCCATGTTTTGGGGAAGGGAAGATCCAGAATGGTCTAAATTCCTTCTTTTCTTTTTTAGCCTAAAGTAAGAAGCAGATGTGGAACTCCCTGAGTTTCAAATAGTGACAGTGTCTCAGCCCTGGACCACAGGTCACTGCTTATCTAGGGGTTTAACACCAAAAAAAATCTGTGTGTGTGGATCATTCAATATGGGGCTTGAAGGCTTTTCCACCTGCTGGGGAGGATATTGTTCACATCTGTCAAGGAGAATGTAGATAGGGACATAATGCCAAACCAAACTTTTTCTGAAATGCTGCTGTAGAAGAAATCCTTCTCTAGGCAAGGTGAAGCTCCAGCCCCTGGGAGATGTGGTGTGTGGTGCTCAGCTGATTGTCACCGCCTCCGTGCCTTTGGTGGGGAAAGGAAAGGTGCCTAGCACCAGGACATAGGATCACTGCACACAGCAGAGACTCTGTGGCCCTGCTGGGGCATCCCCTTGTTTCTGCAGGTCATGCTACCTGCCAGAGACAAACACTAAATGCAGCAGTGGTTGTCCTGACTGACTTGTGTCCCCCTAAATGTTTTTACTCCATTTGAGGAAGCCTGTCCTGCAGCTGCTGGTCTAACAGGGACTGCAAGCTGCCTCCAGAAACTTTGCCCCAGTGAGATGTAGATGAAGGGGTTTAGGCGTAGCCCAGGCTGATGGCCATGTTGTAGGCATAATAAAAAGGCAGGGTGGGGTGAGTCATGGCAGGCTGGGCTAGCTGTAGGATGTGGAGAGGTGCCTAGCAGATGAAGATGGCTGCCCAAATAGCAGTTGCTGTATGGGTCAGTGTTTTAGTTTGAGCCCTGGTGTGTCTCCAGCTTGTCAGCACATCTGGAGATCTGGCCATCTTGAGCAGGATCCTCCTGTAGGCTGTGGTGATAAGTGCAAAAGAGGTGGCAAAGACTAGGAAGAAGTAGAGTGTACCAATAAATGTCCCTCCGGGGGCTCTGGCAGACAAATCCCACAGCCTAGCAGCCCTCTAGGCAAAGGGATGAGCTGAGCATACATCCACACAGCTGTAATACTAAGGAAGGAAAGGGTCCAGGGCACACAAATGATGAAGATGGCTACAGAGGGCTTCCTGAAGTGAATGGAGGTACACGGGGGCCAGGTACCAGTCAATGGACGTGGCACTGGGGATGGTAGGTGCTGGTGAACTGGCTCTTGGCATCCTGCATGGCGCTGATGGTGCGCATAGTCTCCCTAAAGTGCCAGGCTCTGTTCCCCAGCAGCTGATGGATGAGGAAGGGGCATGCTCAGGAGGAAGAACAAGTCTACCATGGAGAGGCTGATAATGAAGATATCTGGGAGACTACTGCTAGGGCCAGATTTCTTTAAGACTGTCCAGATAACCAGGCTGTTACCAATAATGCCCAGCAAGCAGATGATGCCAAACAGGGTGGGCACAATGCAACTGGCATAGTTCAAGTTGCTGGGGTCACCTGCGGAGACAAGTGTAGGCAGGAAAAAGTGAGACCTGTGTGCCATGGCCACTGGTGTGGACATGCCTGCTGGAGAGTCTGCTTTCTCGTATCTCATGAGAGTGCTCTGAAAGCAAGCAATAATGGATTTGTCAGGTGTATGTAAAATGAGTGACTGTGACTAAAAAACAACACACAAAGCACTTCCTTATCAGCTTTCACAAGTGTACTAATTAAAACTGAGGTATTTCTATGTTCTTTCAGAGATCTGGTGTATCTCTAATGTACCTCTAGGTCTTCTCTATAACATGCATACACACACTCACCCCTCCATAGGTATGGACATGTACCCATTGATTAGAATGGAAGAGCACCAACCAGTCTGTATAGCATTACATATTTGTGCATGCACACCCTTTTGAATGTATACATATATATGTATAGAAATATGTGCATTTCATACGTATCAGATACATATGTTGCTCAATTGTATGGGATATTAATGTCCCTATCCAGCCTTTCCTCAGCCTTTGTAACTAAGTGACTTTCTTCTCTGTGCCTGCAAACATAGCTTATATATGAATGTACGTTTTCACTTTTTTATTGCACTTAAAACCATAGAAAAGTTTTTGACAGCTTTGGAGCTGTTGGGGTTGCAGCTGTTCAAGGTCTCTGTAGGCTTTATTTTAAAAATCCATCCTGCAGTAAGAATTGGCCACTATCAGCAGCTTGACAATGTTGGTCGTCTGTGTGGAAGAATAAAGGTTGCTGATTCCTTGGAGATGAGTGAAGCTGCTCACAGCTGACGGCTCTGAGGCTCAGCAGAGCCTGTTCCCTGGGTTAAAAAGCAGCTCCCCTGGCTTGCACTGCCTTGCAAAACTGACATTGGGATGAAACGAGGCACTCTGCCTGTCAGCAAAGTGCTGGAAATATGCTTGCAGGGAGAGCAGGATTTCATTTGTTGAGTGTTGAAGGCACAGTGATCAGGGTCTGCTGATGACTCCAAGCAATGAACGTGTGCCTGGGAGAGGCAAACGTGGCCTGGAAGTAAATAATTCACTAAATAAGATGAAGGCTAGCCAGCACAGAGAGCACATTTTGCTTTTAGGGGGTAGCTGAATATAAATGACTCAGTATAATGTCACTCCACAGAGAACTGTATTAATCTAAAGAACTAACATTTAAGTTTGCAGCAAGATTTAGGTTAATCTTTTCAAGCCTGTGAGGCAGGACTGCCTCAAAAATGAAAAGGTACAAGCTGCATGAATAAGTACTTGGGAAAACTGATATTTTCTGGCCATACCTGGTAAGTGGCAGCACAGCTGATATACAGCACCATTATTTCTCTCCTACTAGGTTTTTTTTCTATTTCAATTCACTTGGAGGTGTCTCAAGTGTAGTAATAGAGCTATGCCTTCATTTAGGAAGGCTGACAGAGACTAGGAGACATACCTTGAAAATACATTGCTTGTTTGTTTGAAGTTACAGCAGTTCTATGTGTAAGGAAGACAAAAGAAAATTTGAAACATTAATTGAATGTACTCTGCTAAAATTAGGTCGTCTTGATCTCTGTTTTGCTTCCCTCATAATGGTTAGTCTGTGCTTAGCAGTCAGTAAGTTCCTAGATTGAAAGTATTGCTGCCTAGGCATTTGGAAAATAAGATTAGATACAAGCTATGACTTTTCTAATGACAGGGACTAGCAGCCTAGTGAAAGGCAAGAGGCATTTATAATCAAAATGTTATTTTGTTTTTTGTTGCTAGCCATAATGATTTATAGCTCTTAAAAATAATTCTTATTTGGTTTCTTCATAGCTCTTAAGAGTAGGCATCAGTGTATTTGCAGAAGGAATAATACAATCCATTTAGCAGCCTGTGCAAAATGCCTACTTCAGTTCAAGCTCCCAGCATGCTACCTAGCTGGAGTCTCTTCCTCTGCAAATAAGTGTCTTTTGGGGTTTTTGCAGTCCAGCAGATGCACTGGGAAATAAAGTTGGAATTTGCTATTTACAGCTGCGATGTGTGTTCTTATCAGTGGCCAGCGCCACACAGTCGCTCAGTGCAGCGTTCTGTTCCCTTCCTGCCCCTAATTCTCAGCTGCTATAAACCAGTAAAGATCTGCTATGATTGACAGCACCTGCAGATTTGGTCTAAAAAGGGGAGTAATGGCAAGGTAAAAAGTTATACACACACATTGATGTGAAATCTGTTTCATCTTTAGCTGGATTTCTCCAGGCTGCATGTCACTTAAAATCACAAAAGTAGCTTTTGGTACAAAGTAGAGAAAGTACGCTCCCCCCCTCCTCATAGTATGTTGCCATCAGCTCTAAGTTAGAGAAAATATTTCTGGTCTGGTTGTGTTAAAGCTTTGGAACCTCTAAGAATAAACACTGCATCTAGTTTGTAAACTATGAAAGGAAGCTCCTCTTATCTCTATTCTGCAAATCTTTTACACTTAACTGGAATTCAGCAGATACTAAAGCCTTTTATGAACTGGGATCAGGATGTAGAGTATGGCTAAGTGTGATTTCACCCCACTGTCCAAGGGAGGAGCCAGCTTAGCATAGCTGAAAAATGTGACCACCAAGATGATGTGGAACGCATTGTCCCTTGGATAAGCTTTGAAATATAAGACTGCTAGAGTGGCTTTACAAGGAGTAAAAAACATGCTGCATGAAGTTAAATATACTGATATGGCTAGCTTTAAAGCTAGTTTTTTTTTTGTTTTGTTTTTAGGCTGAAGTATTCTTACCTTTACAGAATCAAAAAAGGGCTGTATAACCTAGGTCTGCAGAAAATAGAGCCTAGGTCTTTCCTTGTCAAGAAGATGCCAATATCCCGTTGGAGTTGAACAGCATGCTTGTTCATGCAAAGCTGGCCTATTACAGTAATTTAGTCCTGAAGATTCTGCTTTCACTTTACAGGTATGGAAAGCAGAGTATTCCCATATGATACAAGCTGGCTGCTTTGTGACTCAGCAGATATTGGCCAGCCAGTACTTTAACATCAAGTAGGAATAAAAATCCAACTTCAAGGAAGTAGATCTGGAAAACTTGTTTTTACTTTAAGATAGAACAACACTAACAAGACAACCTGGCTAAACAAACAACACTTTATTAAACTAATATTGTTAGATACTTTCTTAATGCTTAAAAACAGTGTAGCAGTTGCAAAAATGAAAAAAGTTTAAGCAAAATACATAGACATTACAACTGAGAAGCACAACAGGCATTTTAAAGGCTTTTTAAATACCTTAAAAAAAAAAAATGCAAGACCTATTTGCACACTGTGGCTGTGATGAGGCAATGAGGAAAACAAGAAAAATATCCCTTTGGAATAATGCAACAGGTATGTGAAAGCTTACACCATGAGTTACATATAATAAAACCCAATTTTCTTTTTCTTATAATATAAAGCATTAGCATGGTATGCTCATAATTTTTTAACAGAGACTGTTAAGGCTTAGAAGTATTTTTTCAACATTCAAAAAACCTTTCCAGTGTTGCTGAGCTTTGACATCTACCATGTACCAAAATAACCACCTGCTGCACACAAGCCTCGAATGATGCTCCATCTAAAAATAAAGTAGTAAATGGGAAATCAAGTACTTGCCTACCCCTTCTTTCACCTAACTGTCACTGACTTAATAGTAGTTATTGTTAGTATATCTCTTTACCAAATTCTGCGGAACATTTCATCGTGCACGTAAGACTTGATACCACAATGCACTGCTTAATGGTTATTGTTACTATTAATTTTACAGGAACAATGTAAGCAGTGTATTGATTTTTTTCAGTTCCTATAAGCAGTGCACAGAGTTTGAATGCTCAGCAGGTAAACTACTATACTGTAAAGGTCAGAATAGTACAGTTAAGCAGCTATCAAGGAAATGGGGAGAATCCCATTTATTCAATCTTTCCATTACTGGCAGTGAGATCCAAAACAGAAGGACTCCTCTGTAGCAAAGTTCCATTAGCTTCCTGCTTCCTTATCTGACCCCTGTATAAAGGAGAGGAAAGAATGGTTTTTAAAGTCTGTTCTTCTGTAAGATTGTCTTTTAGCCCTTCCCAAAGAAAGCTGAGCAACGTGAGATATAAGCGTGGGACTCCTGGAACTGCTGGTCTACCAGAGCTTCTCTCCAAAGATATGGGAACATATGCAGAAGGATCTACCAAATGTTGTTTGTCTAACATCAAAGTTTTAAGTGAATATGATTGGTTTGTAGGTTGGGTTACCTATTACATGATATGATATGGAAGAAATAAGTCTTTTCTGGAATCATTTGGCAATGATATGGACCTGGCAGCATGCCCAGGAAAAGCAGCAGGGAGCCCTGGAACGAAGGCGGACAGAGCGGGCCTTGCACTGTCGTGTTTTCCTGAAGACATCGTGGACTCTACAAAAAGTTTCCTGTACTCTTGAAAGCTGTGCAAAAAGTACTGCTGTGAAGGAGCAAACTGAGAAAGGAAGTACTAAGAGGGAGCAGTTGGATTGAGTTTCTTTGCTTTTTCCCTATACTTAAATAGTGATTATCGTTCTTAATTCCCTGCTAGTAATTTAAGCAGGCGATAGGTGGCACTCCAGCACAATCTGCTAGTGCCTTAGCTAGATGTTTGGCAAAAGCCTGACTAAGGCCGTGGTGACTGCAAGAGGCCTCCAAGCATAAAGTTCTGGGAGCACAGGGAGGTATGAATGGCAGACAGCACGTGAGCAGCAGCCTGTTTTGCTAATAAAAACAAGTTTGTGCAAACAAAGCAAGAAAATCTTCTAAAAACATATCTGGAAAATGTATTAATCTTAGGTTTTGTATGGACTTGTTTTACAAAAATCTGTAATTTTGGCCAAAGAGGGCATGTAATAATCATTAAAATATATATTGCTGACTAGTCATTTATATGCTGTTTATTAAGTCATCAGGGTAGCCAAAGATGCTCTAGCATTCAAGAAAGATTTATTAAACCTTGCAAAAGTAGCTGTTACTAGTAAGCAGAGTGATCACTGCAATAGTACAGTTACAGTTTGAAATCAGAGAATAGATTAAGATGTTATTACTTACTTTTGAGCATACCAGTAGTTGACCAGAGTTGAAAGAATGACGTAACAAACACTCAGTACTCCAGAAACTCCCAGTGAGAGTGCACCCAGGCCACACAGCACACAAAGGAGGGCTATGCCACCTATCGATATTACAACACCTAATAAAAGAGATTCAGTTTGTTCTTTGAACAGTTTACATACGTGTCAATTAGAAGAATATAATTTCTACGACAATCCCAAATTCAACCATTAGGGAAATTTGTCTACTGCAATCAGCTAGTTGATCTGTGTAATAAGCAAGGGCCTCAGTCTGTAGGAAATCCCCAGACAGTGCTCTAAAGGAGAAATACTTCTTGTAACATGTTTACTATTTATGTGATGAGGAAGGAAGATCTGTCTGAACTAGACCAACTCATTTTCTCAAACTCTGCATGTAACAATACCAAAGGACTGGAGTGCCTATATATACAGCTGTCAGGGAAAACACTGTGCCCCTCGTTACTAACCTATGCCAGGCTAGAAGTCTGTCCTACTTCTCCCCCAAGTAGCCCTTCAAGGCGAAGGGGCAAAGAAATGGTCAGAGCCAGACTTAGCCAGAGGTATACAGAATATCTGGAAGCAATCATACTTCAGAAAGTTTTAATCCCTGACATATGTTACAATACAAAATGAAAGGAACCTGCAAAAATTTCTCCCATAAAAGACTTTGTAGGCCACAAATGAAAGCTGTGCATAGCCAAAATAACTGGTTTAGCTACATCCAGGTGGCTGTCATTAAAAAGAGTAAGCAGATTTCCCCTGAATAGGCTACAGTTAATTAGATTACTGTTCTTGTGTTAAGACTCTGGCTATTGCTGAAAGCTGAGGACTACACTTAGAAATCCTAAATTGTTTTCACTGAGAATTCCAGAAGGTAGAAGAGAAAAAGGAAAGGATGCCATGTCCTAAAACGGAAAGAAATAACGCATGCATGCATGCATACAATACCTTCCATAATTAACACGCCAATACAGGCCATTATGGCTGTTGCAACAACAAAAATCAGAAAAAATGCAACAGGAATAGCAGACACCGCAACAAACATCAGGAGTGATAAGGCAACAAAAGGATGGTCATCTAAGTATTGGCCAAAACGAGAGTTCATAAAGGCAACAACCTGCGGATGAAAGAAAACTATTTCAGATTTTGCTTTCACCTCTTGTCATAGATCAATTTAAAAAGTCACAGCTACGTTTTTGAAAACTATGGGCACCATTCTTTTCCTAAGTATGGAGTTTGAATTAAAGGGAGTAACCATTGGCGCTAAATTTCCCAAGCATGAGGATTTATTGCAAGTGTAGGTAACCGTATAGCAAATATAATCCTACCCACAACATTCATGTTTCTCATCAACTTCCCAGTCCCAGTCTTGCAAAAATTAACCCCCCCCCCCCCAAAAAACCAATGCACACATACAAGGTCATCCTTTAACCACACATATTTCAGTGAGGTTTCAATAACTGTTTTTTGATCTAGAGAGTTTTAAGTGTTTAAAAATAAGAATACTGTTAATATTCAAAAAAAGATGATGCACTTCCTTGTTTTCATGTCTCACTAGTATCTGCAACCTGCTCCTCTACTGAGCATAAGGACACTACAGTCATGTCTGTACCACAGAAAGTGGTAAGAATTTACTTATAACGTAACAAGCAGATGAGAAAATCCTTTTTACAGAGGCAGACATACCTAGATATTGGATTTCCCTTAAAAACAGGTATAGCAGTTTTAGTTATTTTTATAGTAGGAAAAGCATTTCGCTAAGTAAAATGGTTTTACCAGTAAACACAGTAATGCAAAACAGGCCTCCCTTTTGGTTGCTGAAGATGTGGGAGGACAGCCATTCCCATAGGCTCCTCAGCCTTTGTTTAAAAAAGGGAGTGCTAATTTTCTCAAAAAAATTACAGTTTTTAAAATTGCATTTAAATAAATCAGGATATGATATTCCAAGAAGTGTAAAAGGAGTATCTTTATAAACAGGTTATGTAGAATACAATCCAGAACCCACATTTGAGTTGCTGTGGATGGACTGTACCATGGAGTGCCATTGCTTCTGCAGCTCCTGCATTTCTGTGGGCATGCTGGAATCCTCAGTGACGATCGTCAGTCTTCCCGACAACAACGAGCTCTCACTCGGCCATCCAACCTTCCTTAAGAACTAAGGTAAAGTTAGTAACAGGCTCATGCAAATGTTTTGCGAAAAATCAAATATTTCTCCTTTATAAAAACAGAGAATGTAGATTTCACGTCAGTGAGATCTATACAGTTTAAAACGTTACTTTGCAGGATTAAATTTAATGCAGGGGTTCTGTCTCTGAAAGCTCTTCTAAAGCCTCTCCCAAGCCAAAACAAGTATCAGGATACAAGGGAACTCTCACCTTCTGCCCTTATAACAGTAACCCCATATTTAATGGTGAGGGCAGCGTTACCAGTAAATTACCTGTAAAAAAGTCAGTTCTAACCATTTGTTTAGCCAATTTATCACTGTAACTGTAACGCTTACATTAGTGTTTTGTGAGTAGCGTAACAAGAGTTGAAACCAGACACTCTACAGCTTCAACACTCAGTAAAAGGCCAAGTACTTTAAAAAAACCTCTGAACATATTCAGTTGTGAAAGTTTAAAGACATCAGCGCAAAGATCTTCTTCCTCTGAAAACTGAATCTACTGTTGCTACAGGAATGCTTGTAAATATAAACACTTACTGTGTCAATAGTCACATTTTATATTCATCCTCTATATTCAGCCCCTCCCTTTTTTCATAGAGTATTTTTATACTTTTCTTTCCCTTTTGTTTTCCCCCCACCAGCAGAAACACAAAACTCGGCGAAGGGATTCCTGGGTCCTTCTGTCACAGGAAACCACCGGCCACATTTTCTTACGTGACCCAGGCGGACCCGAACTGATGAGGAGACCTAAATGTTTATCCTGGGCCCCGCAGAGCCCCCCCCCGAGCTCCAGCCGGGGCCAGGGGCCCACGACCCCCCCCCATCACCG